CCCCCTGCCTTGTTGAAGTTCCTTTGAAACAGGTGTGGACACACACAGACACACTTCAGATATGGTTCGTTCGATCTGAAAGCCTCATGCCACTTGCAAGCCAGGTGATCTGAGGGGCCTGAGTAAAACAAATAGTTAGTACGTAAGGCGACTTAACTACCATCTCAATACCGGGAGTCAAAGTTCAAACTCCAAAGTTCACAGCTCCAGGTGTCTCAGCAGATTCAAAGCTCCAGGTGCCACCAGAAAATTAGTTCAAGCAGGTACGTTTCCAGAATCTTGATGAACGTCTGTCTTCGTTGGCGCAGGACTCATCAAGACTCCCTGTGCCCCCAGAATTCCACAAATTACGGCCAAATGGCGACCTGTGACTCAAAGGTTCATACGCACACACACACACACACATGTGGCAAAGTGCAATTTCAGTGAGAGCTTCACAAAGGCTTCAGAGTAGAGCGCTTCTGCTTTCAAAGCCTCTGGCATGTTTCACGACTTCATGTGCCTGTCCACAAAGTCCCGCCCATGGAGTCCAGCGAATTTGCAGTTTGTATCCGAAGCAATCAATCCCAGGTTTGGCCTTGTCATCTCCCCGTTGATTGCCTTGATGGAAGATCAGGTGGGAGATGGACGACCTATTATTCATCAGTGCAAAAGGAGTCGCAAGAAGATCAACGAAGCTTCTGTAGAATCGAGATGAGGATGTGTTTGTTTTTACTTGCTGGTAGCTGCTGGAATTGGTTTGCGTTGAAGTTAAATCGCATGTTCAAGATGTCTTTCCGATTAGCAACACCGAAAGTGTTTTTGCGAGCTTTTCTTCGCTTTATGATGCTTTATGTCGTTTCTCTTTTTCATGAGTTTTATGTGTCAGGTATATATATATACACATACATACACATCTTTTTCAAACGACTCTCTTAGGCTAAACACATACAATGGCTGATCGTTATTGTTTGGAATATATCAATATATTGCTTAGAGGTCAACAAAAGATTGACATATGTTTTAGCTAGGAATGCTGGAACAGGACTGTGCCAATATTGTACGCGTACATTTCTGGATCTAAGATCTAAGACTCTGTTGGAGGACTTGACAACCTAATCTTGGATCCAAGGTGCAGGCTTTCGCGAGATCTTGGATCCAGACATGTACGTACAATATGGGTATTTTTTCTTAGTATCACATCCATCCAAAGCATATGTGTCCATTAAAACACTTAGTTAGTGATTCTGATACATTTGCATTATGGTGTCTGCAGTGACTTCATCTTGGCAACAAGTGACGCGAGGTAATCATTTCTTGCAACATACATTCTTTGCGTCAGCCAACGTTTCCGCTCGAAGTTTCCACTCTGCCTCTTCTTCAAGTCTTTGCCGTATGGCCGCTGCTTCATTCCTGGTGGTTCGACAGGTGCTGTCAGTCGCGCCAGCAGGTCACTCCGGACGTTCCGATCTGCGTTCCGAGCGATCCTGGCAAAAGTCCAGCCATGCTATAGATGGCGTGCAGCTTGGCTGGCTGCTCTGCACAGGTGTCTTTTAACAAAGCCACATTTGCAAGGCACGCAAGATTTAGCGAGCTGTCGTCCTCCGACTTTTCTTTTGGGTACTTAACTTTACTTGTTTCCTCTGGTTCCTTCAAAGGTTCTTTTTTGCCTCCCGATCCTCTTTATTCCCATTCATTTAACCCAACTCCATCCCCATACGGTTGGCTGGCATACATCCTGTCCATCTACATCTCTCTCTCTCTCTATACATACACATACATACACATACACAAGGCCTGTGTAACATTATGGAACGAAATCTACCTGTGCAACATATAGAAAACACAGAAAGTTGGAAAGGGTATACACGCAGTGTTACACTTTGTTTATCTCTTGCTTTCAAGCTTCACACACCGCTGGTTTTGCGGTGAAGCTCCCAAGTCATGAGGGAACCCTCAGTGTGATGGTCCCAGGTCCGCTCCCTGCGCCGCCGCGGGGTGCCAGCGGTGGCGTTGCACTCAGAGCTTTCGGCCACCGAGAGACGGGTTTCTCAGCCGAATGAGTGACCCAGGAGAGCCCCCACCAATCAACTTAGATGACATATAAGTCTTTTTGCATATACAAATATATATATATATATGCATGTATATAGTATACCCATCCCCTAAATGATGAACCATATAAACTACACATGTAAACACCTCACCAGTCCAACAAATGTAGTTACACCGCTTCTTCCTTAGCTTGGGTTACACTGATGATTCCCAATTTCCACGTGCGCCGACTGCTGATGCTGGTTGTTGGGTGTACTCCGCAAAAGAATTTCAAACTTCTGTGAGGTTATATTTTGTCAAGTCCTTCATTTGCCTGTTGTATTCCTGCAAGATATACTGTAATTCCCTTCGATCCCCTATCCCCGTAGCTGTTGGTAGATGGTATATGCTGTAGCAGGAGGTCATTGAACACCAGATTTTTCTCATGAGTCAAGCCGGTGAATTGCGCTTCCTGAGACCAGGCGACCGGCCAAACTAAAGTGCTTCTGGTGCTTCTAGTAGCGTCCTGGCTCCTAGTAGCGGTGCTCTTTGTTACTAGTAGCTTCTTCTTACTAGTAGTAAGGCCAGGAGCTACTAGTAGTGTCCGGCCGCTAGAGTCAGTTCGGTCTCTCTGTTGGGTGCTACGTCGAAGGGATAATCCAAGAGCTTCCATTCTGCCGCAAGCAGAACGGCTGAGGACATCCTTGCCACTATCGTGCCTTCACATCGACCGTCAGAGTTGAAAGGACTGGGAAGAAAGAAACCGTCGTACCAACAAGTCCTACCAATAATTTCTGTGTTCGCCCTTGCCCCTGCCAATTCATGTCTTTGCCTCTTGCTTGTTTCATGCCTGCACATGATCAATCAACACATCTAGAATCTATATAATGGTGGTTGCTCTTGCCCGGCCACTGTCAGCCATGAGGATTCTTCATGAAAGCCAAAACTCCAAAGTTGGTCTACTTGTCTCCAGAGCCTCTTGGCCGGAGCCGCTTTCACAACAAAGGATCGGCACACGCAGCCTTCCTAGTTGAAAAGGATACGATCAGAGGATGTTTTCTTTGAACATGTGAACTCCAAGCACCAAAATAGGTAGGGCTTCCCCTGGATTTTTTGGACCAACCTCGCACCCATGCTGAGGCTGGCGACATCCTCCAATTTTGCAGAGCCTTGTCCAACTTTTGTCAGTGAGGAAGACCAGAAATCTGGTGACAGGATCTGCGAAGCCGAAAGACTTTCCGGGCTTCGCTGGCTTGACCTCGAAAGGTCCTTCAGCCTAGAGTCCCACGTTGGAATGGCTGAGTCACTCTTCCTTTTCTGTGTAAGCAACGCGACGAGGATGTACTGTATTTGTCTGGACGACACCAGTTTATGCCAGAGTTCGCTGTTTCGAAGGTGCAGTTGTGATGTTGGTGCCATCTCTTTGTTGTGCTGACGCGCCGGTTTTGAGGAATCTTTGCGCCTCTGGTCCTCTCACATCGCACTGGTGGCGATTGACGAAGCGCCACTTGCATTGACTGAAGTTGTCCTTAGCAGAGAGCTCTGTGGATCTGACGGCTCTGGCCTGACCAGAGAAGAAGTGAGGGTACGTCCTTTCCCAAGGTCGGCAAATGATTCCATCGGAGAGAGGTAGCCCATCACATGACCAAACATTTCATTTGGTTGAACTGGGAGCTGCTCAGTGATGAATGAGCCAAGGCATTGCGTGAGCAAGTGGGGCCACGACTTTAGACCTTGCTTCCAGGCCGAATAGAGAACCTTGATAATGGGGTGGTATGGAGTGGTTAATAGTACTGCTGCAGTTGCTATTGCCACTTTTGAGGCACGTACACAGCAGAAGCTTTCTGTATGGAGGGGGCCCACCTCGGTGCCATGGGCCTTTTCTCGGAACTCCCAGTAGCCTGGGAACTCCAGTAGCCGACTCGGCGACCTGTGACTGTCTTCGTCATCGCCGTTCTCCCGGGCTCACCGTGGACGCATGAGGTTACCGTAGCCTCCATCAAGTGCGAAATCAACTGCCTGCAAGCATTCCATGGGCAGCCTGTACAGCTACGGCAACCTCTAAGGCACAGCAAGATGCGCTTCGAAAATGCATCGTGTCACACCAAGATGGGACAGTCATGTTCTACGGGAGGAACTTAGCCGTGTTTCCCACATTGAGAAATGGTGAAGGCTGTTGCAGGGTTGTGTATACTAGGAGCAAGGACGCTACTCACGCGTCTTTAAGTCAGCATGTGATTGGACATCGTGTGGTGTTGGTGGCCATTGGTGGCCTCTTGGCAGGTACGGCAAGATGTGGCAGAAAACCTGGGGCTAAAGGGCGACCCTCTCAGGGAGGTGGGTCACTTGTGACGAGCGTGTCTTCGTTTGTCCAGCCACCTTTGGAGATTGCTTGCAGGTGTTATTGCCTTTTGACCGACAGAATCTACGCTATGGAGTCATTCACAGGAGAGGGACACCGACTCGATATGGACCTCAGATTTTTGCAGCAGAATAACACATCTTGCCTGATTTGGGCTACCCAAACTAGGTTTGTCCCGACTACATGTTTTGCTACCACAGTTTTCTGGATGTTTCCCAACAGATGGATGGATGAGATTTGTGGGCGAGTGTTTGGACATGTGTCTTCTCTGGTCATTTCTTTTTCATTCTTTTTCATAATCTGTCCTTGTCAGCAGCTTTCCTGTCAGCTCACCAGGAGAGAAGACCGCGATTTTGGGGGCACCTACACAGTATCTTTGCCGCATATCATTTTCGACAGGTTCGATCTGCAAAGCTTGAAGCACCTCTCGAAAAGTGCCTCATCTACAGCTTCGACTTTGTTCACCTCTCTGCGACTTTGTTCACCAGGAATTGATTGACCTCACGACAGCACAGCCTCCAGAGAGCTGTGGGATCATCTACTGCCAGCGAAAGAGCGACTGTGAAGCCCGGACACGGGGGAAATGGTGACGGTGGCGTTCGGTGTCCGCCGGGGGCGGCCCCAGGACGTTTCTGCTTTTGTGGTTGGAATTTTCACATTTGGTTGTTTGCCTTGTTGTCTAGAGCTGCGATGGCAGAATGATGCAGACTGTTTTGTGCGCCTGCACCCCCATGCCCCAACGTTCCCAAGGAAAACATTGCAGAGCTGCTGCAGGAGACCAGATTCTATAGGACTAAATACTCTTCTTGTGGACGTTCGTGTTTCGGCAGCGTGCTTCGCGGCCTCCTCCGATCGCATCGTTTCGTGGGCCTGTCAAGTTCCACTTGGTTCCTTTAGGATCAGTCAGTCTCTATTTTTCCTTCTCTCACAGAAGTTTGATACTATAGAAGTCAAAAGGCGGAAGTGTCTCGCAGATCGTTTATAGGCCGAGCTCTTTGGTGGATGGCAAACCTTCTTGTCCCTGTGCTACATGTGCAGGAGCGTGGGGTCTCTGCCATGCCGTTCCACGCTGGACTTTGCAAAAACAAGAAGAGGGCTGCCTTCGAGGCCTTTATTGGGAAGCCCCTTGAGAAGAGCAGCAGGAGCTTGGCAAAATGGCTACCAGGGTCTCTGGATTCACTGGATTCCAAGGGAGTTTTGAATTTTGGGGAACTCCAAAAAGGGGGGTTCTTATCAGAAGCCTCAATCCCATTGTAAAGGTGAGACATGTAACATCAGTTTGCCGACTGTTTAGTGATGTCTGCACTCTACCAATTCTCACACAAACAGCTTCAGCTTTCGCCCGACTGGCGATGCAATGGCCCAGGAACCCAAAGGGTGCCAAACACCCAAAGAGTGTGAAGGATAGTGCCGAGAAAGCGCTGCAGCCATTCCCAACTGAAAGAGCAAGAGTGCTGGTGGCCACCATCGCTTTTGGCATGGGAGTGGACAAAGCTGATGTTCGCTTTGTCTTCCATGCTGCGCCGCCAAAGTCACTCAGTGCTTACTACCAAGAGACTTGGCGAAAGAGCTGGGCCCGCAGAACGCTCACAAAATGCACGCTGAACCCTTCAATCTCACAAAAAGAACATTGCCAAGGAAAGTGGAAGAGCCGGAAGGGATGGAGAGCCTGCGCTTTGCGTGATGTTCTTCACAGAGAGGGACTTTTCGGGTGCAAAGCCTCTCAACTGCACATGATTTGCTGAGCATTCCCGACGGAACTCGACGAGTTTGCCATCCCATCGTCGGGAACTCTTGAAGGCTCAGCCGACGATCGACGAGTTTCCATGCTCATGCGCCTGAGGCAACTCATTATATCTTCACGAGGACATAGTGCAACGACTGACATAGCGTTGCAGGAATTGGACGCTGTCACTTGGATGAGATTTTGACTGGCCCTTTTGGGGAGCAAGTCAGCGTCTATCCGATCCTCAGTTGCGATACAACTATGCTATGCTGTTGCTGTTGGACAAGCTAGTTGTGTACGTTGTGCCTCATGCAACGCACTGTTGATGTCCGTTGATTCAGCCAACCAGCCTTAGGCCTTCCACTTCACGAACATTTCAGGAGCTTGAAGACAGAACCACGTGTGACTTTGAGCCAAATCGAGTGCGCTAAGGTGGAAGCGTTTTGCTCAAACACAGAGGAATGCCGCCGCAGCCTGCTGCTGAGACATTTTGGTGATCCCAGTGCCGACAAGCCTCCTGTCTCCTGGCTTGACCAAAGGAATATGCCTTGGTGAACAGCTGATGGTTGTCGTTGTTTTCCTATGAGCTGTGCTGGGCAGCTTCCAACACATTTCACAGAATTAATCAAGCTTATTGTGTTTTACTCTTAAGGAACAGATTGAAGGGCTACTGATGAAGAGATAGAGGTTCCATCTTCATCCATGTAAATCTCATATCGGCTTCAGCTACTTTCCTTCTACTGTACTTTTGGGCTTATCCATCTTGGCCACTTCATCTTCCCACCTTCGACTGCAGGCGACCCAACGCTTGCCGAGCCACTGCTGCGACCGCTGCGCTGCGTTCGCCCATGTTTCACTGCAAGGGCTGCTTCCGCCCCACTCAGGCGGCATGACGGCGACCGCGCCCTCCAGCTGCAGGGCGAACGGAGGAGCAACAGCAGCACCAAGAAGTGCACAACCAAGGAGTCGTGTTTTTGACTTGGTTCAAATGAGTACAGCATGTTTTAGGCAATTGATGAAGGGACATTGCGCCGGAGAACAAATCTATTCTCATACTTCCTACCAGGAGAACAAATCTATTCTCATACTTCCTACCAGGCACTTATTACTTTGGATATATTTGGGTCGCTTCCCGACGACAACCACCCGCACCGTTTGCTTCTATAGAGAGAGAGAGAGAGAGAGCGCGCACGCGTTTGGAAAGGTAATTCCCAACACCCCCCAGATTATCAGGACTTTAGATGTTTATTGCATATATCATATATATAGTTTATTGTATATAACCATATTGTAACGTAATGTGTACTGTATTTTTGTTCACACTATTTTTGGACTCCCTTGAACTTGTACACTTTTTCAGGGGTCCAACTCGTATCCAACAATGCCTGCAAATTTAGCACCGCTCACCTCTAGGTCTTATATCGGTCATGCATATGGCATGGTTTACTGTCATCGCTTTGTTCTTCCGCCTAGAGATGACTAGTACCAGGCAAGAGAAGAATGTGAGAAATAAGATAGTTGCCTTGCTGGATATGCGTTGGATCCCTTAAATTTACAATTTCAAGGGGGTCGAACATTAGAGTGGCTACAATAAACTATACAATATGCATGATGACCTAGAGACGACAAGCAAGGATAAGTATATGGGAAATAAGAATTTGCATGTGTTGGACCCCTGAAAAACGTACCATTTCAAGGGGTCGAACAGAGTCACATGGGCCCAAATCGGACACTTGTCACCTTCAGCCATTCTCGAGTCAAAATGCAATAGCCAGAGGAAACTAGCTAGAAACTCACACTTGGCGAAAACGAAGCCCCAAGGTCTCGCCGAGAGCGCGTGCGCCCTGCTGACCTGCCGGGCTTTCAGGTGGCCTCCAAAGCCTTCGGCACAGGCTGGCGAGTTCTTGAATGGGCAATCACCCTGGTGCCGCCAACCGCAAGTGGGGCCCACACTTCTGCGTGGACGAGCGCATCTTACACCAAAACAATGTAGTGATAGAGGAATGGGAGATGTAAATCTCAAGCCCTGCGCTCGGTGGAGAGGTCTCGGGAAAGTAAAAAGCCCACTCAAGTAATTCTCAAGTAACGGAGGCTGCTCCCCAGCAAGGGCTCAGCTTCAAAATTCCCCGGAACGCCTGCGCACCAGCACGGCCAGTGGCAAACTCCTGCGAACCGTGGCCACAATGATCGAATCCAGGGAAGCGGCCGGCGGCCGCCCAGTGTGTTTCAACCTTCAGTATCCCACACGCATCCACACGCCGCCTCGCTAAAACCCTTGGCCGGAGAGTTTGTTGCTCAGGTGGAAGCCTCCAGGGCCCTGCGTTCATGACTGCGCGGCAACTTCGAGGCGATCTCCTGGTGCCGTCATGAACCAAGTTGATTCGTCAGTTCATTGGGGCCCAAAATGCTAGGCCATACATATGCATTCTCATGCATCCTGAAGTGTGATAGGTCCCGTTGCAAGCCAATCTTACTAAGCTCACCCAACCTCAGAAATGATTGATAGCTGTATGATGCTGTATGTGAGCGGGAGACTGACCAAGCAAGCTCGTACCAAATTTTCCATGTCTTTCGAGGGAGCAGTGTCGAACAGTTGTTTTGCATGCATGTTTGACATCCCTCATGTCGACTGAATCGGGAGGTGTTCCTCGACCTCGAAGCCCACCGGAAGCTGGCTCCTTGACCGAGCTTGAGTCCAAATATCCGAAAACACCCTATCTGTGAATGGGTGCTCGGAGATTTGGATGTTTCAGACGGGAGAAGAACCGGTAAACCATTGGAAAAACCGTCGCACCCGAAGGCTCTCCAAAACGGCGCCGGCTGCCCTTCCGCTCAAGCTGATGCAAGGATGGGGTGCCCGGCGCAGAAGTGACTGTTTGTTTGAGCCATGCCTTCAGAGCCCATTGTTTGTCAAATGTAAGTAGCGGCGATTCGGAGCGCCAGTCCTGTTTGCATCCTTTTCCGGAAGCAAGGTGGTTGTCCCCAAGTAAAACAGCTGAGAGGCTGAGAGATAGATTGACAACAACTATATATATATATATATATAAGAACCTCTGTGAAGCAAGCAAAACAGGAGCAATGAGTTGCGGATTTGCCTGGAATGTTTATATGACCCCGGACCTCTGCTAAGACCTCATTGCAGCGCAGCTCTAGTCTGAGTTGAAAGGTGCCTACTTAGTTGTTTTGTCGTCTCGCCTCTTTGCTTCCAGTTGTCCACTTGTGACGCATTTAGGGTTCTAGTTACTAGTTCTATATATTTCGAAGTCGGATTGACCTCTTTTTTTTGCCAACAGCAACTGGAAGCATCGAGCACCATGCGAAGCAATACAGTGCTTCGTAATTCAGTGTGCATTGGGTTCGGCTCGTTTCTAGTGGTCTGCACTGGAAGGGTGCAGGATCACTGCTAGATCCAGATGGCCATGGGGAGGCCAAAAGGAGAGCACTTTGGGAAGTGGGACGAGGAAAGGCTTGGTGCACAGGGGATTACTTGTTTAATTTACAATTGTACACGGAACTGAACAGGATGTCAGTTTGACTTGCAGAATACGTTTTTCTTCCTCATTCCTGTTTGCCAAGCATTTGTTCTCGCCTCGCAGCACAATGACAAGCTCTTCCTGGGCCGTGTGTCGGCAGTGAGGCTTATCGTGCCTGAGGCTGGAGCAAACGCACTGAGAGGATCTGAGAGGAAATTGAGGTGTTTGATGTGAATCTGAATGAGGGTACCACCGAACACCTCTTATACATATGCATAATGTTTGTATATACAGATTATGTATACGTACAAGTAGTTCCCGGGCAAGCCGGCAGCGGAAGTTTCCAAAAGAATAAACCTATAGGAAATGGGCATGTGGCAGGCTGATTCGCCGAGCTGCGATGTTCTTTGACAAAACAAGTTGGAACCGACCAATGGAGCGAAAGCGAAGCAACCACCGTCAACTGTCTCGCAGAAAAAAAACGTTGTTCATGCATTTTGCAAAATAAAGAATAGAGATGACTCAGCCGCGTACTAAAGTTATACTGCAAAGTCGCCAGTTCTCATCTTCCAGCTCCCCAGCTACTCCGCGTACTAAAGTTGTACTACAAAGTCGCCAGTTCTCAGCTTCCAGCTCCCCAGCTACTCCGCGTACTAAAGTTGTAGTACAAAGTCGCCAGTTCTCATCTTCCAGCTCCCCGGTACTCCGCGTACTAAAGTTGTACTAGAAAGTCGCCAGTTCTCAGCTTCCAGCTCCACAGATTGCCCCGCGTACTAAAGTTGTACTACAAAGTCGCCAGTTCTCATCTTCCAGCTCCCCAGATACTCGCGCACTAAAGTTGTAGTACAAAGTCGCCAGTGCTCAGCTTCCAGCTCCACAGATTGCCCCGCGTACTAAAGTTGTACTACAAAGTCGGCAGTTCTCATCTTCCAGCTCCACAGATACTCCGCGTACTAAAGTTGTACTACAAATTCACCAGATTGCTCCGCGTACTAAAGTTGCACTACCAAGTCGCCAGTTCTCAGCTTCCAGCTCCACAGATTGCTCCGCGTACTAAAGTTGTACTACAAAGTCGCCAGTTCTCATCTGCCAGCTCCCCAGATACTCCGCGTACTAAAGTTGTAGTACAAAGTCGCCAGTTCTCATCTTCCAGCTCCCAGATACTCCGCGTACTAAATTTGTACTAGAAAGTCGCCAGTTCTTATCTTCCAGCTCCCCAGATACTCCGCGTACTAAAGTTGTACTACAAATTCACCAGTCCTCAGCTTCCAGCTCCACAGATTGCTCTGCGTACTAAAGTTGTACTACCAAGTTGCCAGTTCTCAGCTTCCAGCTCCACAGATTGCTCCGCGTACTAAAGTTGTACTACAAAGTCGCCAGTTCTCATCTTCCAGCTCCCCAGATACTCCGCGTACTAAAGTTGTACTACAAAGTTGCCAGTTCTCATCTTCCAGCTCCCCAGATACTCCGCGTACTAAAGTTGTACTACAAATTCACCAGTTCTCAGCTTCCAGCTCCACAGATTGCTCCGCGTACTAAAGTTGCACTACCAAGTCGCCAGTTCTCATCTTCCAGCTCCACAGATTGCTCCACGTACTGAAGTTGTACTACAAAGTCGCCAGTTCTCATCTTCCAGCTCCCCGGTACTCCGCGTACTAAAGTTGTACTAGAAAGTCGCCAGTTCTCATCTTCCAACTCCGCAGATACTCCGCGCACTAAAGTTGTACTACAAGGTCGCCAGTTCTCATCTTCCAGCTCCACAGATTGCTCCGCGTACTAAAGTTGTACTACAAAGTCGCCAGTTCTCATCTGCCAGCTCCACAGATACTCCGCGTACTAAATTTGTACTAGAAAGTCGCCAGTTCTTATCTTCCAGCTCCCCAGATACTCCGCGTACTAAAGTTGTACTACAAATTCACCAGTCCTCAGCTTCCAGCTCTACAGATTGCTCCGCGTACTCAAGTTGTACTAGAAAGGCGCCAGTTCTCATCTTCCAGCTCCTCAGACAACTCTGCGTACTAAGGTTGTACTAGAAAGTCGCCAGTTCTCAGCCTCCAGCTCCCCAGCCTACTCCGCCGACTAAAGTTGTACTACAAAGTCACCAGTTCTCAGCTTCCAGCTCCACAGATTCCTCCGCGTACTAAAGTTGTACTAGAAAGTCGCCAGTTCTCATCTTCCAGCTCCGCAGATACTCTGGTACTAAAGTTGCACTACAAAGTCGCAAGTTCTCAGCTTCCAGCTCCACGGATGTCTCCGCGCACTAAAGTTGTACTACAAAGTCGCCAGTTCTCATCTTCCAGATACTCCGCGTACTAAAGTTGTACTACAAAGTCGCCAGTTCTCAGCTTCCAGCTCCACAGATGCTGTGCCTGCCACAAAAATTTGCACACGAAGGTTCACAAAGTGCGGTGCCTGCCACGAAATCTGCGCCTCGAGGTTCACAAAGTGCTGTGCCTGCCACGAAATCTGCGCATGGAGGTTCACAAAGTGCTGTGCCTGCCACGAAATCTGCGCATGGAGGTTCACAAAGTGCCGCGCCTGCCACGAAATCTGCGCATGGAGGTTCACAAAGTGCTGTGCCTGCCACGAAATCTGCACCTCGAGGTTCACACGTGCTGTGCCCGCCACGAAATCTGCGCATGGAGGTTCACGCAGTGCTGTGCCTGCCACGAAATCTGCGCATGGAGGTTCACAAAGTGCTGCGCGTGCCCCGGAGAGTCACCTGCTTGTGCCATCCAAAGGCCGGCGCGCTTCTCGGAGGAACGTGGTCAAAGAAATGGCATCATCCATAGAAGCTGCCTGCTTCATGCCACAGGCTGGGGAATCCAGCGTGGCCAACGTCCAGTTCTTGCCACCGTAGTTGGAGATAGCTGCGTCCAAGAGGGTAGCACTCGACGTGACGGCGACTCAGGAGAATAAGGCGCAAAGGCTTTGCTGCGCCTGCCACGAAATCTGCGCATGGAGGTTCACAAAGTGCTGCGCCTGCCACGAAATCTGCGCATGGAGGTTCACAAAGTGCTGTGCCTGCTACGAAATCTGCGCATGGAGGTTCACAAAGTGCCGTGCCTGCCACGACGCATGGAGGTTCACAAAGTGCTGTGCCTGCCACGAAATCTGCGCATGGAGGTTCACAAAGTGCTGTGCCTGCCACGAAATCTGCACATGGAGGTTCACAAAGTGCTGTGCCTGCCACGCAATCTGCGCATGG